CCCCCGCCATTGGCAGGATTGGAGGCCAGCACTGCCCACTCCGCCCTCTTCATCGTCTCCTTCACCTTGTGGTTGCCAGGATCGTGGAGCAAGCCCAGGCTCGCGCTCAGGTCCCTCGGTCCGATCATCACGCAGTCCATCCCGTCCACTCGTATGATATCTTTTATGTTGTTCACTCCTTTCTCTGACTCGATCTGGTTCAGGAATCAAGAAACCTTTTTTAAGCGATTGTATGTTTACCCTAAAACATGATTTCTCTACATGGGCTATGTAAAGTTTGAGACTTTCGTGGTTCTTGTATCGACACACACACACACACACACACACATATATATATATATATATATATTCGTTTTGGAAGATTTTATATGCTTTGTTAGGATTTGTAGCATGTTCAAGAAATTTAGATGTGTGTGTATATATATATATGTATATTCAGATTTGTTCGTTCGTTCGTACGAAATTGCGAATATCCCAAAAGAAGAAAGAAAAGTTTAAACACCGCCAAGTAACAAAAATTAACGAAAGGGATGGAAACATAATCATCTGACCTGGCACATGATCAGCAGCTTCTCTGTTAATTTACCTAAATACCCCTCGTCGAACCCGAACTTCGAATCCCTCACGACGGTGTACGCGCATCCGCGGACGCCCTCGGGTCGATACCGGCAATACGACACCGCATCGGTGGCGGCTTTTCCGGTCTCCGTCATCGGAAACATTATTCCGTCGGGGCCAAGATCCAGTGCCTTCTTCGTCCAGGTCGGGCAGATATCCGGCACGCGGAGGACCACGGCGGCGCCGGCGGCTTCGATTGCGCGCATGCAGGTGAGCGCTTCGCGAATGCCGCCGGGACCGTGCTCCATGTCCACGATGATGAAGTCGTAGCCGGCGAGTGCGGCGATCTCCGCCATTTCCGGCGAGAACGAGAGGAGGAATAGCCCGTAGAGCGTTTCGCCGTCGCGAAGGCACGATTTCAGGGACTTTTTGGGAGGGAGAGAGGAGGAGACGCGGATTGAGGCGGTGGGGGTGGCCATGGACGCGAGCGGTGAGTTCGTCGGTGAGTGAAAACCCTACTGAGGTCTCGAATGGAGTTTGTATCGTTGACCACTATTTCATCCTTTTATTATCTGGATAAATATGAAGATGATAGCTCGAAATTACTAAACATGGAACGTACTCCGCATATAATATTTTTAAATTTCTATTTCCCACCCCAATAGTTTTAAAACTGCACTAGAAGCCCCTGAACCAAGACAAGTTTTTTTTTATGGAGTGTGAACCAATAATTTTAAGATTCCACTTTAATGAACCCCATAGTTTTGAAAAGACAAAAGGAGACCCCTAACATCCTTAATATCGCTGATTAATTCATGGTATGTAGTCGAATTGTTTTCAACTTTTGGTCGAGAATTTTGCATATTTTCCAGGCATATCAATCTCCATTCATTTACACGACCAAAACAGCAAACCAATCTCTTCAGAAATAAAATTTAATATCACGAAATTATGTTTGTAACCAAACAAATCTACATTATTCCAACCTAAACCCCAAAATCCAAACTGGTTCTTTCCAACTGGCCCGTTTGTTTCATCTGACGTAAAGCCTCAAACACATAGCTTAGCTACTCGACAAATTTCCACAAGACATGACTCAGAAATCTTGCCCAAGATCAATGTGCTCAAACCTAAAATGTTGGGGCCGCATTGAAAAGCCTGAAAGGAAGAGAGGCGCTAAAGAAAAGTGAAACACAGTTAAACTTGTTCCCTTTTTTTCTTTCGGTTCTGTCCCTGTCTCTGGAGTTTGCGGTTATAGTAAATCTTCTGTTTAGTTCATCTCTATGAAGAGACTAGCCTGAGGATGCAAGCCTGCTTCTTTCAGAGACATCGAGAGCTTGTCTCTTCCGTACACTGTTCTCGGAAAGTTCGATACTAAGCTGTATTCTTCGGTTTCTAAGACGCCCAGTGAATCAACGTAATCGTACAGCTTCTGGATCGTGGCCGTGCTTTCAAACCTCCGACCCTTTCTTTCTCCGTTCGGGAATCGCACCAGTACCTGCACCCCCAGGGAAAATAATTCGTGAAGGGAGACCGAAAAATCTAACATGTTTTACATACCCTAAAAGTTGCTCTAGATCTGTACTTCCGGTCTATGAGAGAAAAAAACTAAGACCTTAGATACGGATCTGTGTCCAAACTAAGACCTGTCTTTCACAAGACAGTAAATCTATGTGATTTGCTGCCAAACCAACACTAAGTATACCGAGAAAGGTGTACATATTACATGGGACCACTTTGTGAATGCTAAAGGATAATCATTTGGACGCCATTGATAAAAGTATCACAAGAATCATTTTTTTAGCTTCCTTTTTTAAAAAAAAAAGTGTTTAGAGAATAAGTGATGACCAAGGAAGGAGATTACTCACTTGTGTGACATCAGGGCCTTTTTCAGGTTCGTCTCCAAGAGCAAGGGCTTTCTCTTGTCTCATTCTAGTTCTCGCAGCTTCTCTGTCTGCAGCCTCTCGCTCTGCTCTCTCTCGAGCCTCTTCCTCCTCCTTGCGTTTCCTCTCCGCTTCAGCAGCTTCCCTCTCTACACGCTCTTGCTCTTCTCGTATTTGTCGTTCCCTTGCCTTAAAGGCAGCGACAAAAGATGAAATAAATTGAGAAACTTGGAAAACAGCAGCATCGTGGAAGTTCTTTAATCTCTGTGATTAGAAAAAGCAACTTACTTGATCAGCTTCAAGGGCTGCCCTGTAAGCAGCATCTTGTTCCTCTCTCAGACGCATATTGTTTCTTCTTTCCTCAGCCTCGACCCTAGCTGCTACAAGAACAGGTGAACTGTCCTCCAGCACTCTCTGGAGTATAGCAAGCATTTCTTCCGCACTTTTAGGTCCCTCGACCTACCAGTAACAGAAACAAAGCTAAGAACTAAGAACAATAAACTCTTATCCCTACTCGAGGCCTGCATATTGCCTATGATATTGCATCATGGCAGAAAGTAGGATGGAACAACAATGCTACATTCTACTTCGGAAGAGTTCAACACGCTACCAAAATAGATTAAGTTCCAAGAAATAAGTTCTTAGTTCTTTTGCATGACAACTTAATGATCCAAGGGAAATAATCAGTGTATAGCCGAGTTCACTATCAAAGTACTTATAAGTTGAAGCCCACTTAAGTTGTCTCCTCGATCAAACCCTTGATATATTGCTAATAAAAACGTCAAATCACAGCCAGAAAATCTCTAATCAGACAGAACAATGAAACTGGTTCTTACCTGCTGAAGAAGAGCAATTCTCTGATTAGCAGCCGGCATAACCACAGCACAAAATGGGTATCTAGATGCCTTCAAGCTGTTACTCATCTTGAAGCCCTCGCTAGCTCGAATACTACCTCCCCAGGATACAAAGTTCTCGTTGACGAACGCGGCAAAGGCTTCGTTGCAGAGCGTTCTCTCGCAGAACACTGGCGTGTCAGGGTGATCTGGAGAGTGCAAGTAAACAAACAACAGCTTGAACTCGCTCCTCGACCGCTGAGAGTCACGACAAAGGGCGAGAGA